AACTGGGCATCCTGAGAGAAGCAAGCATATTTTTCTGCCAAGAAGTAAATAATGTTTTGATACTTTTCAACTACACCGATATGCTATCTAAAATACCTTTTGTAATAGTTTACCTTGAAATTCCAACTTAATTACATTTAGATGCTCATTTGAAGAGCTACTCCATTACAACTTGTTAAAAGAAGCAAAACTATCTGACTTTTTAAGGCCATTTTATATTCGTACTTACATTATCAAGGTCTTTTTCCTGAAGAGAGCGCCCTCCATTGAGATGAAAACTCTTCATTTTCTGCTTTCGGTAGGACTTTATGTTGAAATTGAGGTGTCTTTTGAGTTTGATACTGTTTCAGCATTGTAGTCTTGAGAGGCAAATCAGGCACAGCTTTAACTACTCAAATAACAAATCTGTCTGGTGTTTAAAAAAAAAAAAAACAAAAACCCTACACATTTATTTGGCATTTGAAGATGTCATTAAGTAAAGGGATGGCTAAATATCCAGATCCATCCAGTCTTTCCAGGCACTGGGAACATAATCATTTCCCCTACCAAAGGAATTGTTTTTCTTTGAGGCTGACTGTAGACCCAAATAGAGCTAAATCAGGATCACATGATGATCAGATAACACAAGGAGAAGCTATTACAATCCAAGCTGATGCCATGCAGGTGTATCAGAGAACACTAGATGCCAGGCTGGGGCCAGAACTACAGATCACAGAGGAATATAATCTTATAACTGGATTATCCTATTTAGACTTTATTTTACTGAAGATATATGTCAAATACACCATCATTAAATAAGAGAACAGTGTGTTTCTCAGAACAGATATTTTCTTCCTCAATATCAGTATTCAGATTGGTAAGAATTGTCAGTCAAAGACATTGTTTCATGGCTTGTTGCAATATTATAATTTTTGAAGTTTTTCTTCCTGGGAGCCTCTTTCTCAGAGGCAAGTTCTTCTGTATAGTGAACAGTACTTCACTGCACAGTTTTTCAGGTAGGAAATGAAATCCTTAAGAAACAAGCGGAGAACTCCATTCATCATCACTGTGCATAGAAGTTATTTCCATATCTGGAACTGATGCATTGCTGTGCCAGGAAAGTACTATAAGATTTCTTTCACAGCCAGTTAAAAATTGTAAGACCTTGTAAAAAGGGATTCAGTGCACCTGTATGAGGCACTGGCTGCTCTGTCCTGATTGCCTAGGGCTGCCAGCTGACTCAGGACTCCCATATACTGACATGGAGTTCTGCAGGGAGGTCTTCAATGGAAAATGCTATTGAGACCACCTGAAGAGTGAGCAGGTTTGGCTTTGCCAGAAGTATCTCTGACTACCAAGACGTTTTTAAGAGTAAATAGGATAATGAAGCCTACCAAAACAGACTCAAACTCCCTGTCTTCCAATGCTGAAAGTACTTTTTTGAAATGAGAAGTCTTTGGGATTGAAACTCTGATGCTGGTTATATGCATGCAGTTTAGTCAGCAATGCAAAATGTAAATACTATTCCTATCTCATGAGTGAGCTCCTAAGAGTTACTGGGAGGGCAGATATGGACCTCATCCGAAGCTATTCTCTAGGCTGCTGGTGAGAGCAGTCTAGTGGAAGAGCTCTCTCCACAGGCAGAACAAGACTGCTTGTGCCAAGTGGAAGCACTAAATGGATTTTGAGCTAAATTCAATGCTGTTCATGGATACTAGATGTGAGAATGGGCTCTCTGGGTATGAATTTAGACACTTCTCAGTTATAACTTTAAGGGTTCATTTTGGGATGCACTTAAGTATGTAAGTGTGGAAGACTGTAGAAAATTTTGCAGTCCATCATTAGCAAACTTTTAGCCCTTCCATGGATAATAGGTGACCTGAATAGCTGTATTGCATTTTAGGCACCATGCAGATTGAACTACTATGAAGCTGTAAGAAGACCCACCAAGTAGTGATAGGCTTTTATGACTGAGTTGTGTTTGTTTTCTCTTCTTAAAGACATGCACATTTGGAAAAGTGTGGAAGGCAGCTTCTTCCCATACAGTCCCGCAGCTTTCTGAGTGAGAGGGTAAATTCCCATTGTTTAGATTCGCCTCCTTGAGATATCTGATACATTTTCTGTGCCTCTGTGCACTATTTCTTCTCTGCATGAGGTTAACCGTATATGTATTAGAGTAGTTTTCAAATTCCTTGTTTCATAGATTTAGCACCAACTGCCTGAAAATGTACTGCACAGAGAAAGTAAGGCATTCAGCTGTGGTTTCTTTTCAGCATGCTCATTAATTGACTCTTCTAGACAGTCATTGTCATTACTTGTGACAAGGGCGTTTTGGAAACTTATATGAGCTAGTGGCACAGAGATATGCTTCCTAAATACTTTCATAGTGCAGTCCCATTTTACAGAGAAGGCCTCAGCAATAGCTAAGCTGAAATTTAACAGCTGCCTGATTTCATTGGGGCTGGGTGTCTTATGTTTTGTTCTCAAATTTTGAGTACACGATTGCCCTAGTTACTGAGCTGATAGCCAGCTTTCATGACTTGTTACATTCATTTTATTTACCCGTAGATGCAGAGAACATTTTAACAGCACGTTTTCTTTTTCCAGCTCGCTATCCCATTTTAGGGATTCACCTGACATATGTCTCATAGGATGTAGCCAGGTTTTCAGTTTATGCGGAGGCAGGTTAAATCAGCATACTTATTTGCTTGTAATCCTGATTTGGGGAAGGGGGGATTTTTTTTAATTCTGTAATAATTAGGTTCTCCAGTGCACTTCTCTTATTTTCTGTGGTGGTAGGTTTTGTAATGCCAGCTGATATTATATTCCTTTGGCACACCTATCATTTGCATGCGCATAAGGCACTGAAGGTGCTCATTATTTTCAGCTAACAAGTAATCTTGTTCCCACTTAATTTGAAATATATTGTTCTCTGTATCCTAATTTTGACTTTTACAGTTACTTGCCTCATTGCATTTGGATTGCACTGCACCATGTTTTAATACATCATATTCAAAATCTGCAAGATAAAACATCACAATAAATAGCTACACAGATATAATTGCAGTGGAAACATTACGGCAGCTAGGGAGGTTATCATGATTCATCACCCATCAAGTGTACTTCATCATGGGCACAGTGGGCAGTGCAGTACTGCTCCGTTGAGTGGAAGCTCAGCAGCCTCTCAGCATCCTCAAGGCTGAATGGAGTGGGCTGTACCAACACATTTCTGCACTCACTCGACAGCAGCAGAGCTCTGTACAGACAGTCTCTTGTGCTAATATTATTGCAGCAGCAACCTATTCTCAGAATGAGTTGGGAAGGTTCATCAGAGGTTCACACACCTGCATTCTACACTTTTCTAATGCTGGAGGACAAATTTTTATGCCAGTCTCTGCTTGCCAAATGATGGCAAACCACTCCTTCACGTGGAAGCAGCAATTTCTACTGAGATTCATGCACCTCCCAAATTAGTCATTTCCTTTCATCTCCTCTCCAAGATTGTACAAGATGGTAATGATAGTATGAGAGGAATTGTCCTGTGGGATGTATTTGGCTTGCACAACACCCACAGTAGTGTATCATATTTGCAGACAGTATCAGTTGCTGTTTGCAGGGGCTAAATGTCTCAGGAAGAGATGAACATAATTCCAACAAAAGAAGTAAGCTTAGTAATTTATCTAGTTTGGAAAGTTTAACAATTTCAGTTATAAATCCTCATTTTTTCCTGCGTAAGGGCTGTTTCTTTCACTTTCACTCCTGTTTCCATATGACATTAGATAATCAAAAAAGCAGCATGTACACTGCAATGTTAGAGAGTTCACAAAAAGGCATAGCAGAATATTGTATTGAAAAGCTTGCTCTGAAATTAAATGAAAACTATAATCTGTATTTAGTTTTGCAGTAAATAACATGCACAGTAAGTCTCAGTGCCTGTGTGTTCTTTGGGGGAAAGATTGTATGAGCTCTACCACATTTGGAGCCTACAGCATGTATATGTTTCCCACCTCCAGAATTCTGCCATGTTAGTTGTAGACTTCTGGGAAGCACAGAATCACAATGTTATTACCAATTTTTCAATTGAAATAGGAAAATATTGAAGATTAGACTATGCAGAGATGAATCTATGGTTAATATAGACGAATCCCTTGCTCCTCGAGGAAGAAGAATTGCCAAATTTGTTGCACAGATCCATAAAAATAATAGCGGAAATCCAAAAAAAGTATGTGTATTTGTTGGTATATATTCGTGTCCAGAAATTATGCTGGTATTGCAGATAGAAGTGCAGAATGGTATGCCTTGGCATCTCTCAGTAGACATGTACATCATTTCCATGCGTGTTTCAAGAGATTGACTGAGGTCTTGAAGGTGAATGATAAAAGAGTGTGAGTTGTGGAGCACTAAGATAACGCAGTCACCTGCAGGGTATGAAAAGGGTGTAGCTAATAAGCTTAGTATGTCAGACCTCAAAAAGTTGAATATGCAAGTTGTCTCCCTGTCATTTAATAATTTTTTCAGTGTCTCATGATCACTTAGATCTCTTTTGCTGGACTGCCTGGATTCTGTGCCCCAGTCATAGTGAAATACTGGTTTATGATAATAAATATTCCTTCAGGAACGCATTAAGCTTCTCTTTTAAACACGGAAGTGTACACTGAACCCTAAATGTGTGCTGAGGTATCCCAGATTTCTCTGGGATTTAATTAAAGAGTTTTCCTGAGATAGGGCCAGAAAGATCTACAATTTACAACTAATTGAGCAGGAAGAGCACAGGCTGTTAAGGTCTTAGTCTGCTCTTGTCATCCATATACATGTGTTTACAAAATGATTTTCCTATAAATCTGAGCAAAATTAGAGCTTTTAAAAATGAGTTCATAATTTGCATAGGGTTTTCAGATAATAACTCAAGACAAGATTAAGGGATACATGCAGGAAATTTGTAAGAGAGAGAAGGGAGTACATCAGAGCCTGCTTATGAACTTCCCTTACATGAGAAGTCATTGATTTTGGAGATTTGGAGTTCTCTATAGCAAGCATGATTTGGAATGGCTAGAAGATGCTGGGATGATATTCGAAAGGCAATTTAAAAATAAAAGCTATTTGCATATTTTGTGACCTGTATCCTGGCTCAGTAGAACTGCTATAGATAAAGCCAATGTGGCCTGGGTTATTGGCACTCAAAACTATACCTTAACCATTAGAAAGATTCATCAGAACTTGCAGAATAAACCATTTCCATGCCTAGGAAATTCATGTTTTATAGTAAATAATCCATTATTGGAGTTCAAAATTAAGTGTCATGTGAAGAGAATTTCTTACGTATGCCAATAGTATGGGAAATACAAAAAAGGAGAGGAGTAGTCCATTATGAAATAAATTAAATCATTTGACAAAAATTAACATTATTGGAATGTATCCTTTAGAATCTTCTCTGTGCTGTATCAACAAAAATAGGATAATATAAACATTTCCAATATTAAAGATATAATTAATATGTATCAATTTAGCTAGTGTATACAAAACAGCAATGCTGTAAAAGAGAAATAGAGGAGTTTTTGAGAGCAAGAGTAGCTACTCTCCCCCATCTAACACTCAAAATCTGGGACCAGATCCTGTTTCCTTTATACCATTTTAGCTCTATTTTTATTTGATCCTTTGCAGAACTAGAACAGTAAAACAAAGGCCAACTTGACTCTTGCATGATCTCGCAGTCACAAAACAGGCTGTTTGCTTGCCTGGAACTTATGTTTGAGAACAACTGATAAGTTTTGATCCTGAAAATATTTTCATATCTTGTGAGTAGTAGCAAATTTCCTAGGAAGGAGCAGCAAGGAACAGTGGGCTCCAAATTTTGGCACGGTTTGTTAGACATAGCATCTCTGTACTTTTTTCTAATCCCCAAGCTTGCAGTACACCCTTGTCAGCAGCCAGGCACTGCATGGTGCATTCAGTGCAGTACTTGGTTTGACACACCTGGTTGTGGTGTCACAAACAAGGTTACTCAGTGATTCAGCCTAATGGAATTACTGGTCGCAATTGGCAGTGAAGTTATGCACAGCCATTTCTCTGTAAGTGTGCAATGAGAGGAGACTTCAAAAATAGGTAATGTTGCTGATCAATTGTGTCCATTTGGGTACTTGCATACAGTAAATCGGAAGCAGTCCATGAAATTTTCTGTTGCTGTTTTTTGTTTTGTTTTAACGGTGATTTTTAAAGAAAATAATGCCTCAAGCTGAAAAGTCATGTCCAAGAATATGGATTTTTGAACTTCATTTCAAAATCTGAATTCTGATTTGGAGCACAAATTATCAAATTGCCTCATTAAGCAAACAGAGATGAAACCTCTCCCTTGGATGGTGGCTTGTTCCACCAGAAAAGAAGGTACTGAAGCTAACAGAAGTTCCACCCAGTTAATATGTAACACTTGTTTGTCATTGCTAATCCTCAGAGTGCTCTACAAATTGGCCTTCTTTCATCCTACAAAGGAAGAACCAGAGAGGTGAAGAGATATGTTTGTGTACCAAGGACTCGGAGTGGGCCGAAGGCAGTGCCCAGCCTCCTCAGCCTGGTGCTGCGGCCTGGTCACCAGCGCCATGCTGCTCCTCCATCTCCATGGGCACACAGACACCTTTAGCAAACACTCCTCCGCTTCCTCCATAATGCTGTGTTTCTAGCTCATATGCATGCATATTCTCTTGCTTTCTCTGACTGGAAGAATAAGGAAAAAATCCCTTCAATTTTCGAGATGAGAAAGTGGAGCATTATAGTAAAATTAGTGCTGGCAGGAACATTTATCCCTCTGTAACCTTTTGCTGTTTTCTTTAAACCAGCAGTTCCTCTCCCTCCGGTCTTAGTGCTTCCTACTTTGTGCCTGTTCAAAGAATCAGTTCAGACTGATTCAAGCACTTGTGCAGGCAGCAGCCAGACAAATACATCATGATCCTCTCAGTTGCAAGTGCTGCTTAAGTCACAGGGTGCTCAGACATGAAACGTTCTGTCCTGAACAAGGGACATACTCATTTCTTTCTTCTCCTCCTGTGTGCAGGAGGGGTAAGACTCACTGATTATCATTTATTTGTGGAATAAGGAGTCTGATCTCTTCATAAATCATGTAGCAATTTAACTGTCTGAGCTGTGAATTTTTACAACCCGTTTAATTTTGCTGTTTAAATTGATGTGTCGTTTTACTGCCATGAAGGTGTTTTACACTGTTGCTGTTTCGCCTTCTGCTAAGGAAAACATAAGCTACGCAGATACAACACCGACCACGCTGAAGAGGTGCAGCTTTAACTTTAGACACACAGTCAGGTCAGCACAACTTTCTGTCGTAAACAAGGCCTACATGGCACAGCCCCGACTAGATTACTCACTTTTTCACAAGGTCTGCCTACAGAATATGCACAACCAGTGTAGCTAGTTGTGTTTTAATAAATAATAATAATAGGTGTCTAATTACAGCAGCCTGTTTATGCAATTTCCTGTGGGCCTCTCACAGGGCAATGATGCGCTCTGTGCTTCACCACGCAGCCACAATGGCAGTATATCTCATGTGGACTGCTGGCAGTTGAGCACTGTCCATCTAGAACAAAAGCATTGTCTGCAACTGCTACCAAAGGCTCAACCAGGTAAATGTTTACTCACAAGCACAGCTTTTATGACTGTGAATTGTCCCACTGATTTCAAAGGGGCTGTGCCTTGTAGTAAGTCTTTGCAGAATCAATGCTTTAATCAGCATGCTTAGATGTTTAATTTTGTTCTCTACAAACATGTTTGCAGGATGCTAAACCAGTCTCATGATTCCCCACGTGCTGGTTAGCTCTTTGGGAAGTGCATTGCATTTCAAATTTTAAAAAGCTCAGGCAAACAAAATCCACTGTTACACTTACTCCAAGATGTACTATGATGTTTTGTGATAGATGTAGTGGTCAGAATATCACACAGACAAATAGAAATATGCAAATATTCAGATAGAAATGTGAAAATAATCAAATGACAATGTTCCAAAATCATGTTGAATAGTGGGACCTGGAAGTTGAGGATTGGATTTTTTGCTGGAATGAACAGACCTCATTCACTGATGTCAAAGGCTAGGATGAAATGGAAATAAAAACAGGTAGAAAATGTGGCTTTTATGGAAGGAAAATCAACACTGTTTTTTACTTGTTTTCCCTCCCCTTCTCTCACTATGCATACAGTTCCTGTTGTCTCTTTTTGCCCTGCTGTCTTGCTTTTCCACTCTGTGTACCCTTTTTATACTTGTGTGGCACAAATAATCAGTTTTGCTTGATACTACCAAATCTGTGTGGTTTGTTGAGTGCTCCTGTCTGCCAAAAATCAATTATATAACTTTTGCACTTGATGTTTCCCCCTGATGCTTAACCTGTTACAGATCACTAAGGAATTTAGTCACAAAGGTGCTCACCTTCTTCTTTGTAAGCAGCAATGCCCTTGAAGATGCCTTGACCCTTTTCCAAGGAGCTCAAGGAAGACAAATGACATGTCTGTGCTGTCCAGATTGATCCGCTGCAAATCTTGTATTTACTTCTTACCTTCCCTCATCCACAAAGCATGCCTCTCAGTGTGCACTTGCAAATTCAGTTGGGCACCTGGCAGCTGAGTACGTAGGTGGGAAATTCAAATACGGGTGGTAGCTGGGTCCATTCCTGGGTTCCACTTCTCTGCCAGCAGGGTGATGCCTGTGCATTCCAATAAGGTGCTGACATCTCCATGCTGGAGACGTATGTGGTGTACAGCATCTGGCTTATGAATGTGATTTCATGTTTTGACAGTGTAATTAAAAACATAACCACCATGTAACGAAACAGCTTTCTAGAAAAGGTTGTGAAGAAGTTGAAGTTATCGTACAACAGTTGTAAATTATATTACTGTAATTATGTCTCTATTGTACAAGCAGTAATAATTAAAATCTAATCCAGTACAACCATACAAGCTGCCATTGCTCTCACTAACGTATGCATAGAAATAGGAGAATAGGGAGAAGCTGTACATATACACATGCATATATGTACACAATGAGGTTAATACTTGTGTTTTCTCAGCCTAGATATACTGCCAGGAAACATCATTTAATGTTAATAAAGTAATATTAACGATTTAAAAAATGTTAAATGCTTATTATCAGCACTTTGAAGAATGCAGAAGGAAAAAGGCACAGATGAGTCAACACCATCATGCTGCTGCACAAAAGCAAACATCCTATGGGGTGATATTGAGAGGAGTGTTGCATGTTGGTAAAACCAAGAAATGCTTCCATGCTACTCAACATGCTAAAGGTCTGAATTTCAGAATTACTTGCGCTTGGTTTTGTAGATCGAAGAGAGCAAAAATCCATGGAAAAGCAACAGAACTGATTGCTTTCCCTAACCCGTTATGACAGAACATTAACTGAGATGCTGCAGAGAAACTGACTATCTGCATTTTTTGATCTAGATGATTTGGATAAGCTTTGCGTGTTCATAAAGTAGGGAGGGAATAGGATATTACTGACTGACTGTCACTGAAAGCACTCACACTTGGTGTAAAATATAATGATCTCCCTCTTCACAAAGCAGCATAGGGCTTGCAGAAATGGAGGCTGAAAATTTAAGTGTTTCCATAACAAGAGCAATTTAAAAAGAAAGAGATTATTTCAGGACAGTACCAAAATACTGAGGCCAAGACTGTCAGAAGCAGCAGCATGCAGTAGGAGATTAGAGAAGGAGCCAACAGACTGAATTCAAATCCTTCTGTTATTGATCTGCTCAGCAGTTGTGTTAAGGTCGTTTTTCTTTCTCTTTCCCTTTGCGCTCCTTGCTGTCTCCTTTATGTGTTTTGACCTTTTTGGTACCTTTGACTTTTATCTCTTTGGAGCCTGCCCATCTTTCCCAATGTTTCCCTAGTGTTTAGCACAATGCATCTCTGCAATCTTTTGTGACACCGTAGACACTACTGCAGTACTAATTTAGCAGGGAGAAAATGAATTTCCTTCACAGGCAGAGAAATTACTCCAAATATATATTAACATCTGAGGCTTGAATTCTAACAAATGTCTCTTTGGTTCTGCGGCATCCACTTCGGCATACCATTGACTTCACAGTAACTATGCTGCAGAGTGAAACTATACATATGCTGCAGACAGCTTTCCTTTGGCTGCAGACTGCAGAAAGTTAGACTGGCATTAACAGCTGCCTGCGGCACAGGTTACAGTAAAGTATATCATGTTCATATCATCATTACATACCTTGGATTCCTCGGCAAGCTTCAAGTCTGGGGGTGAGGAGAGCCCTTCGAACCGTAAATTAGCTTGACATGGTGAACTATGCAGCTCTGTCCTTCAGCTAGGAGAAAGAAATACTTTTATTCCATGGAGATGTTCTTGAGACTGCTGAAGAGCAAATCAAGACTTGATCTCCTCCCTTCTTTCAGAAAACTTGGAGACATTTCTGTCTGTCACAGATGCTACAAATATTCTTAATGCACCTATATATCTGAGGCAAGGTGAAGTGTAAATCTTCATTCACAATGCAACTTGGATAATTAACGAGTGTGCTTACAGCTAAGTGTGCAATAGAACAGTTCATTATTGTTCATTATGCAGTTTGTAGAGGGCTGGCTATTTTCTCAAATGGAGTAGGAGCAAGACTGTAGAAACAGGAGAAAGTTATTGGAAACCTGGGGAAAAGAGGACTCTGGATTTTAGGATGTAAGTGTAAACACAGAGGTGGGAATCCATCTGACTGAGGGTGGATCCAAGAGGATCTTTTTTCATTGAAGTTCATTATGTAGTTGAGAGGTAAAGATTGTTCAAAATAATGCACATTTGAAACTAATTGTGTCAGCAGCTACAGGAGTAAATTCAGATTAGGCAGAAGTGCTTCATTGCTTTTCCTAGTGAGGGAAGCATGGCATGACAGATGTCTCTGACTGAAAACAAGTTCTCTTTTTTTCTCTCATTTGCTGTCAAAGTTTAACAAGCCTATCTGCATGCACTTCTTCCATACTTTCTGATAGTTTTCTCAATTGCAGGTGAACCTTTGTGCCATGAAATGCAGCATTGTCAGCTCATTGAAACAAGCTCTGAGCTGCAGTATCTTTTTTTTTTTTTTTTTTTTTTAAAGGAATAAATAAGTTCTGAATATAGGACATCAGCACATTTGTTTGTATTTGGAAATCAACACCATTTTTGAATCTTCCCAGAGAAATTGCCGTGCAAAGCAATTTCCCACCCTGGATTCAGCACTCTGCTTCTGCATCGTTCCCAATCCCCGCTAATCCTGGGCACAAAAAGTCCCCGCGGTCGTTGGTGCTGCTGCAGGGCACACGTGGTGCTGCAGTCACAGGGATGGCCCCGTTATGGGGCTTTTGACCTTGATGTGTTGCCTTGCATCAAACAGAAAATGTATAGGCCTTAAAATACTCATCATACTATCTAGTAATAGTTTGGACAGTAGGAGAGATCCAACTGCATGCAGACCGTTCTGCAGCAAACAAGGGATTTGTGGTCTGAACCCACAATACATCTCAGCATCCACAATGTGAGGATGCCAGCTCTTTGGGAGGGGATGCAGAAGCTCATCCCCAAAGCAGTACTGCTAATTGCTTACTGTTCTTCAACAGGTGGAAACTGCAAGTAAATCAGCTTTTTGTCTGATGGCATTTACAGAAAGATCCCTGTATATGTTCGCAGCCGGCACTACTATTCCTGACAAATTAATGGTGCGTGTTGCAGCGGCTCCTATAGACACCACTCATAAATCAGGTCCCTGCTGCAAGAATGTCAGTGGCTCTGGAAAAAATGTGCTTGCTCTTTCCAGTCAATTGGACATCCAGACCACTTGGAGTACAGCTGGCATGGTCACATGCAGCGTGCCGAAGCTGAACGCGGCTGCTCTCAGCTCGTGATGTGTGGTCCAAGTCCTGCAAGAGATCTGCTGCCTGATCCTTGCAAGAGTACGTGAGGGTGGTCAAAGGCAAATCATCGTAGGCATGGAGCTGTGATGGACATTTAGGCTTTGGAAGATGTGCTATATAGCTACCCAGAGCCCCAGCAGTGCAGCTGGTATGTCTCAGCATGAAAGATCAGCACAGGAATGGGGATGAGAGCACAGAACACAGCCCCACGCACTCTCACCACAAGATATCACTATGTTATGGCTGCAGCTGAAAATAGCTGCCCTACAATGAGTGTGAGGAGAGCAGAGCTCATGGTGAGCGGAGCCACAGGCCTGGCTCAGGGCTTTCCTTCTGGCAGAGTCTGGGTCCGAAAGGAGGAACTTTCCATTCTGAAACTTCCACTGCGATGCTCATGCACTTCCCTAAAGTGGAGGTTTGCACAACCTGAAACAAACCTCTTGGCCTCACTGATCATCCTGTGGGAAAATAAGACAGAGAACAAACTTCACTTCCCTTTTCCCCCACTTCTCTCTGTTTTTACAAAAATTACTTCCTTTTTCCCCAAATTCCCTCTGTTTTCTACTAGGCTTTGCAAAAACAGAATCCCTAATACTGTATGCCCTTAGAAATACTTTTTCTCAGCAGAACTTCAATCTCTATTCATGATCATTTCCAGTTACTGTACTCCATGAAGAATGAACTATCTTTACAGTTCAAGCAGAGCAGATCAGACCCCACTCCACTGGCGGTGTCTGCAGCTGTTTTCACAGCACCAGCCCGTGTCTTTTCTGTGTTTACGTAAACACGTTCTATCCCATTTATTATTGCCAAATTTCTGCCCATCGTCTGCTTCAGAGAAGTATCTGCACGTGACCTGGCACGCATCCCTTAGTGATAACCCTGCTGGTTATCGCGCTCCCCACCTGCTGCCCACTCCCCTCCTTGCTGCCTTCTCACTCTTATCCTTCTCAGGATCTCCCTTTCAGCACTTCCTTCCCCGTTTGCTGTGCCGGGGAAGGATTCAGCTTTCACTGCTCACTTTGTGTTAAGTCAGAGGTATTTCTGTAAATACGGAGGCTGCACATGCTCTGTTTCAAACTCATGTCTATGGGAAACTGTGACTGGGTTTGCAAAAAATGCGTGGAAAAAAAAGACTGAAGTTTTCAAGATTCCTTCAGTGCTGCTCAGAATGAATCATCCACACATAAAAATTATGAAAACTTCAGAAATGGCACGTTAACATACCTATGAAGAACAAGTAACTGGCAATGATATAAAAGCTGTCTGTAGCAGGATGTGGAATATAATTACAGGCTCAATTTTCTGAGAGATGAAAGAGGCAATTCTTCAGAAACTCGGTTATGTCTGCTTCTCAAAGACACTGAATAAAGTGATGGAATTTTGGTCCTGCTACACTGTTCATATTAATCAGAAAAAATCTTTTTTCTTGTTATTTGTTTGTTTTTGTTTTTTCATAATGTCTTTACTGGTACAAATGCTTCTTGGAGAATTGTGGCAATCACAATACTGGAATTTCAGCCTTGATGACTGGTAATGCTAGAAGATGGCTGTGGGGCGGTAATTCAGGTTGGTGCAGCTACGATGGGTAAATCTTCTCCTGACTTTTTAACATTTTTATCCTTTAAGTAAATGTAGGCAGTTCTCAAGGCTAGAATTTATATTTTCCGGTGGATTTTCAGACTTCTAGTTCTTTTTGTTCTGCCTGTCCCCTCTTCAGGCAAAGCACTAGAAGGTGTGATCATTAGTACTTTCACTCGATCCTTTTAGTTTGCAGTTTGGTTTACTTTTGTGATGGATAAAGCAAAAAATGCGTCAGTCCAGGCTTTGCGTGAGATGAATGGCAACCAGCAGCTGCTCTCAGGCAGGATTCCCAAAAGCACCTGAGAAGTTCAATGATGCTCAGATAGAACATGTTTATGTATAGCTATGCTGCATGTGACAAGGCTGCACCAAATGACTGCATTGCATTTCAGAAGTGGCAGAGATGCTGTGATGTCTGAAGATGCAGCGTGACAGCATGCAAAGAAACTCAAATTAGAGGCAAGTGAGGTCACTCTGGAACTAGAGTACAAGCTAGCCTTGGACCTGAATTAACCCAGCAGCCTGCCCTGGCTCATTGACACTGCCAGAGTGCATGTAGTCATTAATCTGGGTGCAGTATCATGCTCATGCCAACCTCTAGACTGAAGCTACTATTTTGGATGGCTGTGACATGCAGATGCAGGAATTTGCTCGCAGGCTCACAGCACTGTGCTGCACACACCAGCAGGTTTTCTCTTCTCAGTTCATCAAAAGCCTGATGAAAACCAAGACTAGGGCCTTCAGAAAACCCATCCATATTGCAGGAGGATGAGGTTTTCTGCTCAGCACAAATATCCGCTTTGGTAGTTCATGTAAACGGGTTGAGAAAGGCAGCAGGCAGTGAAAGCTGGGGGAGAAAAGTGAAAGGCAAATCTGCTCAGGGTTAGGGCTAATCTGACAGAGCATCCTTAATCTGGGAGGAGAAGCTGTAATTGCTGGGCTGGGCTGTAGGGTGCCCAAAGAAAGTGTTGCACAGCTGGGGGCTGACTAGCACATTTCTTGCAGCTGTTTCTTCACTGCTTACTTTTAAAAATAAATGATTCCTCCTAAAGCACATCCCAACACATCAGTGAGTAGTGCTGGAAACTTCTCTGCATCATTTTGCGGATGCACGTAGGAGCTGTCAAATATATTAGTTTAGGGTTCCTCAGAGTAAGAGAACTTTGTAATTCTTAGTAGGGAATTTCTGAACTTACTAATGGCCTTTTATTTATGATATCAGGGTAGAATTTTCATTATCATCTACAAAAATATGCTCAACTCATCAAATCCAGTGGATACATTACTGCTGGAGGTTCAGCCTTGAGACACTGAGTCATAGATTAGAGTAAATGAGACATTTATGCCTGAAAATATCTAGGACAACATGTTGCCCTGGTGTTCACGCTTACATTGGATGTGACAAAAGAGTTTTGCTCTGGACTTCATGGAAAACATATTTTGGGTCTTATACTCCTTTGAAAATCTGAGACTTTGCAAGTTCAACAGGGTGAAAACATGACTTCTGCACAGAAGATTTTGCTTTGATGAAGCATCTATCCCATACACAAAGGGGAGCAGAGGAAAAGGATGTGTTTTGGAGAAGATTTGGCCAGCAGTAATAGGAAGCGGGGCAGAATATCCGCATGAATTTCCACTTGATGGTAAAATTTTCCTTTTCCAAATCTGTATTTGAGTGGGTATATGTTTTCTAAACTGCCTAAAAGGACAAAGCCATCTGTGGATAAATTTATTTTTGTTCTGTTTCTGTAAGGATTCCTCCATATGCCTGCTCACCTCTCTGTCTGTCCTACCAGTAAGTTCTGGACCTATTTATCAGATCATAATTAGTCATATGAGTGAAAGTTCCACAAGAAATTAAATTCCTATAAGTCTTGTGGGGGAGGGTATCCAGAGGGAAAAAGTTTTGACTATGTGCCCAGCAGTATCTGTTCTACTACTAGCAAATTGCTATGTGTGCTCTGGGTAGGCAACCCAGTATGCATACACAATCCAGACATATATTTAAATACATGTATTTCAGAACAAGACAGAGCATATACCACCTCTTGCTTGAGCTGGTAGTTACCAGACAGGGAAAGGCTGGGAGATGGGTGAAAGCTCAGCACAGACATGGGAGTGAGGATGTCTTCAAGAGGACAGGAAAGGGGTAAAGATGTGTAGGGAGATAAGGCACAAATCCGTATGAAACCAGATTTGATTTACTCTGGAGCTGATGGGACAAAAGCTCTAAGAACTGTGAGACTAAGGTGGCAATAACAGAAAGAATAGAAGTTAGTTAGTCTGGCTGAGGCATGGCTTCTTGCTTCCATGAAAAATGGTGTTGTTAACTGCAAATTGGATTATTCCATTCTCAATCTATTGCTACAATATCTGATTTATGCCATTTGGTTTAGCTTATAGCTTCTTCTCTTTCTTGCTTTGGGATATACATATGTGTACACTGCATGCAAAAGTAGGAGTGGTAGTGAGTGTTCTGCAGGAAAGGTGCTGGTTTGCATTTGTGAGAGCAGCAATGAGATGTTAGTAGAAATGAAGTTAGTGTATGTTCATGGCTTAATTTGAGTGAGCTGAAGTGTGTGTATACAACGTAAAGCCAAAATTCTCACCCTAGCCTTTGTATTCAGAGAAATGTCTGGGCAGCAGGCATGCAGCAAGAGCCAAATCTCATGGAAGCCTCAGTGCTGGGTCAGCTATCCGTCCCTGTTAGCTTCTTGGAGTATGGGTGCTTTTTTTCAGCTTAAAATGATGAGATTAATTTAGAGTCCTTGGCTTCATACTTCAACCAGCAGGAGAGCAATATATTTATGTTGAGAGAAGAAAATGTATTGCTTGTGAAAAAGACTCGCTGGAGAATTCTGGAAACAGAAAAATCTGCTACTTCTAGTTCTGTTATTAAAAATAATAGAGAGAGAATGGGCTCCCTTCCCTGCTCTGTCACAAAAAGAATGGCTCAGTTCTGACTTGAGGAGACTAGCTTTATGCAGAACTGTTTGAATTGATGGGTGCAGATCCTGGCAAAGGATTTTCATAAGCCTTGGATGTTGTTAGAGTCCCATGAGTAATTTGTATTACATGTACATGACTTATTTGCACATTCGTTGAATCACCTATTAAAGAGACATTTTAGAAGGTGTGATGAATTGGAGAAACAGCAGATATAAGTTTTTCTAAATGGCCTGCTGCAGTGGAGGACAACCGTTTTCCCCAAATGGAAAACCAAACCTTTCAGCCAAAATGCAATCACTGTTAGCTATCACAGAAGTGCTCTATTTTCACAGGTGTGCAATGCCTAGGCCAGAGAAGGCCAGACGAAAATGGACACTCCTCATAAAAAGACAGAAGACACTGTGACAGCGGGAATGTGTCTGAGAACCAGAGAGCTCACACGAGGGAGGGAGAGCTGCAGGAATGGCTGGCTTCAATTGATACCTGCCCTTTATTACACACTAATTATTCCCACTGCAAGCCCTGCTGCTCTGCTGCTCATGCTCTAACAGAGCAGCTCAGGTTTTGTCCCTGGGCCAGGTACCAGTGTGCAGGCAGTGAGATGGTACCAGCACGTTTTAGACAACATTAAAAGATCTTGACTGAAAATCTGGTGAATTTAACGTCAACCAGTGAGAAGACACTGTTTGGGTGTGGTTACCTGCCCATGGACACCTTGAGTTCTAGATTATAATGTTATGCAAGATTGCCCCAGGTATCACTTTGCCAATACAAAGAATAAGCTATGTTTCTTCATCTGGGTACCCTTCAACACCCCCACAGTGCTGCTAATTCCAAATTGCTCAACAACTGCAATTGGCCCTTTAGGTGTTTCAAGAAGATCTCAAACCACATGCAAGTTGTAGTCTTCTCCCTGTGATTTCTCTGTTTCTACACAGAGATAAGAATCAATGATGGGACACACAGAGCCTTTTTCCTTCCCCTTGCAAAGGGAACTTTCGGTTAAGGAAAGGGTACAGCAGCAATCCCACAGGAGTAAGGACCTGGAGATGCTGTGCTAACCCCAGGCCCAAGTGCAATGGTCCCTCTCATCTGTCCACCTGCATGCCTCCACCCCTGTAAAACTGGTCCTCAAAATGTGGGCATGTGTTGCAGGTCAGAAAGATTACAGTGTGAAAAAACCCAGCAGCTTTATGCAGGAGAAGGAGAATGAATTACAGGGCTGGAGAGAGAAAGGAAACCCAGGAGAGCAGCAGTTGATTCACACATAAATCAGCAGAATCTGCTATCACCCAGCCAGATTACTGAGTTATCCATCCTGAACCTGAACTGCTTCCAAATGCTACACTGCAGATTCAGCTTATCTAATTCAGTGTGTTTCAGAGGCTTCACTGCTCTGCATGCCTCTCCAGACTTATTTTGCAAAAATGTAGGAAAAAGCAGCAGCTACCATTTACACCACAGATCCTGAATCTGTTGTGCTTTGGGAGTGCTCTGTAACCACAGGGTGCCACTTTCCCAAGAGATGCTGATTTCAAACAGAATAGCCGAGATTATTACTAAAGGCAGGGTGTTGGTCCTGTTTTTGAGGCTTTGCTGCAGATGTCACACATGACCATAGTTGTTTCTGGTTGAGAACAGCCCCATTTCTTCTAAAGACAGGCAGCAGTCCCTGCAGGCAGACTGTGTCCTTCCTAGAGACTGACTTAACTTCCTTCAAATACACCCACCCCACAGGAGAGGACTTGGTCTGAACAAAGTCTAGTCAACATAGGTCACAGTGGACAGTACAAATTCCTTAAAGGCCTGACTCTAAGGAAGTCAGTGCTGCCAGACACCTCGGGCCGTGCTCAGAAGTGTGCTGGATTGGGATCCCATGCTATGTGGGGAACACAGGACATTTCTGCTGTGCAGTCCTTTTCCCAGGATAGAAAGGGCATTGGCAGAATGCTGTCCTGCACTAGCTGACCCGGCCCGTGTGTCGTACTGTGGTTTGCTCGGCAATATCTCCAGCAAACCCATGGATCTCCTCTGAACATCTCCTGTGCCTCCACCACAGCGACCCACGTGAAGCTCATGTTTTGCACTTCTGCATAACCCCATTAAGGCCCTCCAGAAACTGGGCGGGTACAGTGTCTTCTGAGGAAAGAAATATTTCACGGCGATGTCCTGCCAGGGAAAGAAATGTAGTCTTTAAATATGAGAGTGGATTTATTACATGAGAAAAATCTAGAGTGCATTTTGTCAGTATATTTTTAATACTTTCTGATTTGGAGGAAAAAAAATTTATTACCACTGCAGGTGCCAAATCAACTGCTACTTCTCAGCCATTTCCAAGGAGGGGACAGCATGTCACCTGGCTGTGGGCAGAGGCTGAGGGCAATGACAGCTGGTTTTTAATCACATATCACCAGGTTTAATATAGCACAGGTTTACAGTGGTTATTTACTGGCTGTTTTATGACCCCTGCGACGTGACTCTGGATTTCCTCCAGTTTCTGGTAGAAAAAATCTCGTGTTTCACTGTTCTGTTATTCTCAAACTGCAGTCCCGTCCCCTTCCTTGTGCCTCAAGGGAGCTCTGGTTGGTTGGTCACTGCATTCTTTTTCAGGTTTTGGGCTGTATTTGTCAGGGTTTTAGGTGAGACCTCAACTAGATGAAGTATCTATTGACCTCTAAAAGCCCATGCCATAGTAGAAAAGTGTGACTAGTATAAGTATACCAGTTAATCTTTGAGATGCAATTTTTTTCCAGGAGGCACAGGCATTTGCTGTTGTTTTACTGTCTGCCTTGTTATTTATGATTTTTATCCTCATACTCAGTGCAGAAATTTTACCTCTAACTCTTCTGTATGTCATCCTGAAAGAGTCTTCAAAAAATCTCTGTTCTACTTTGATACCACAACCTGCCTTTGCAAATAGAATCTTCTCCCATGCCAGGACAACAGTAGGGTGCAAGACCTGGGTTCCCATGGGAGCTCCTCACAGATCCAGCTTTAGGGACTTCTCTTCTTGGTATCCTCGATTCTTTATTTCATAACAGTAGGTGCATCACTGGCACCTTCTGTGCTCGTATCTGCTGGCTGCAGCTCCCCTGCAGCAGATGAACATGGCACAGGGAAAACAAGATGATTCAGTCCCTTGCTCTGAGCATGGTATGACAAGAAAAGTATGTTGCTCTTGCCGGCACAGCTGCCCAAGGAAGCTGTGGGTGCCCCATCCCTGGAGGTTCTCAAGGCCAGGTTGGATGAGGTCTGAGCAGCCCGATCTGATGGGGGGCAGCCCTGCCCATGGCAGGGGGTTGGAACTGGGTGGGCTTTAAGGTCCTTTCCAACTCAACCCATTCTATGATTTGATGTTCTACTGAGCTACCAGCCCTGCTACCACTCTAGTTCCTGATAGAATAATATCAGCAACAGCAATAATATAATTTTAAGATTTTTGTCACTTGCCCTTACCTGTATAATCAGTGCAACTTACGGATACTACTGTGATGCTACCAGAAAGCCATTCCCTCACTCTCCCGAAGCTTCAGTTTGCTGAACCTAGCATGTAAAAGCAGGTGCATATAACACTTCCACCTCTTACACAAAGGGGAAGAGTTAATTCACTTTTTCTTTTGCTTTGGAAAAAAAAGAAAAAAAAAAGGCAAAATAAATAGCACTGAGAATGAGGGACATCAAGTCTGGTCTCCTCAATTTCTCTGAAAATTTTCTGTGCATGAACCAGGAAAAGAAACTGAGTGTTTTTATCCAGCTTCTTTTAGCACTTAAATTTGCACAGTATATATTGCTTTTCAGTAAATGTGCTCACTTAGTACGGGATATCTCCTTTTCCCCCAGATATTACAGAAAGCAATGCAGTAAGCAGTTAAAGCACAGTGCAACCCAGTCCTATCTGCTACTGGAGAAAGAAGCTATCCTTGCCCCTGTTTTAGCTGGGGTTGGGGGCAGTGGGCCTGAGAGAGCACTGAGTGGGGAGAAGAAAGGCACAGAAGAAAAAGCTTGGATTTTTTTTGTATCAGAACTAATAGCGCCCAAGTGTGTTTAATATTCCATTCTTTCTTCTTTTTCTAGTGAGTATAATTATTATTTTTTAAATGACATAAATAAGAGGACTGTATATAATGGGCTCCAATTGGGAAAATACTCAGCTTCTATTGCTCCAAGCGGCCGTGATCAGGTACTGTTCCTTCAGGTATGTGTTTGAAAAAAAATGTCAGTGTACATGCATATACCACAAAAGCATGAATTTAGAGTCTGAGAATTAGGGAATGAAGAGAAGATCATGGATGGTTGGCCTTTCTGACTGTAATAGCCACTTCAAGTCCTGGTTTCTCTTTAGTTGGTGAAAGGGAAGAGAGCTTAATGAGAAATGTGAAGTATCCCATCAAGGACTGAGGGGCACAGCAACCAAATAAGTCTTCTGCTATACAGTGGTGGGGGCAGTTTCTGTTTTGGGAAAAGGAGGAAACAGTGACTGGCCCATGCTGAACAGGAAAGAAACTTCCCCTTTCTGATTAATTTATCTTTCAGCTCTGAATATTAGAAGGTACGTTTGCAACAGATGTTTCATGAGGAGAAACCTCTTTAATCCCTTCCTTCAGGCTAAATAGCTTTACAAAATCCTCCCCAGAGCTTTGATAACCCAGTAAAAATAACAGCTGAGCTACAGATGATCACTAATCTTGCTGTATGCTTTTGATCACAAAATGGATGGCCAGTAATTTCTCACATGTAATGGGTTTTTTGCTTGGATATGACATAAGATGTACTTTTTAAAAGTCCTCATATCAATTAAGAAATTAGAAGACTGTGTTCTCAGATCATCAAACATAAACCACTTTCAATAACAACAAGATGAGTATAGAATCTACCAGGACAAATTATTTCAGGGTTAGCATAAGGTTGAGTTAATATGGTTTAACAAGGAAAATATTACACTATAAGATTAGAAAACAAAATACTTCTGTGTCCCAAATGATACAGTCATATTGGGATCCATTTTGAATGAATACCTCAATCTCTGGAAGCAACAAGGTCACAGTTAGAGCAGCACTGGGCAGTTCACAAAAACCTAGCCATGAAAACTGTTAAAAGATATGTAAGCAACTAGAGACACCTAATGAGAGGTATTATTAACATTCTTTACTTATCTTGCCACAATACCTGGAGCCTTAAGTCAGGAATGGGAACCTCCTTGGGGCAGGGCACTATGCATAAATTTGAGCAGACCTCTTTAAATGAATACAAAATACTGCATTTAGAGACCAAGATCTATTAAGACATAGGATTCCATGTACCTTCATCTATGCCTCTACCAATCAGAATGAATAACATCTCAAGTGGAGATTTTTAGGTGTAAAGCCAGCAGCAGCACATGGTTTGCCAAGAGCCAGGTGCAGATTAAACCACTGGCTTTAGGCTCTGTGGCTTCTGGAGTCACATGTCTTCACCAGCATCTAAATTGTTTCTAAACTTAGATTGTTTTTAAAAAGGAATTTCAGCTTTGCCCTTTATTTCCTTTAGCGTTGCTGCTGTATGTAGGTCAGTGGCCAGCCTGCTGGAGCAAATGGACCTTGATCTTGCAGCAGAAGCTGGTCTGGAGAGAAAACGAAGGCTCAAGACTTTGTGAAGAGTTTTTTTTAGATGGAGCCAAAACCTGTTGGCACAGCTGTTAATTATAATTTTAATTCCTGGGCTTTTAGAAGGCTAAAGTCAGTGTCAGCTAAACCTGCCCATCTTTGGCAGAATCTCTCACTTATCTCAGGGCCCCATCCTACTCCATATGTCCTGAAGTGTTTGCTTTCAAGATTTTCAAGGGAGAACCAGAAAGGCAGAGTCCTCTTTTGCCCAGTGCATCAGGGTAGAGCTGGCTGCAGGACACCAGGGCTGCTGCCTCTGCTCTTTTAGCTGCTGCCTGTGCACAGCACTTTACCTACAGCCTGGGAAAATGAATGCACTGATATTTATCTGGACAACAATAAACAATTTGATCCTGGACAGAAAATATAACTGCTCTCTTGGTTTAAGAGACCATCCTAGTGCTGTCTTGAAAGCAGACAGAGTCTCAGATAGATGAAGGCAAGGTTAAGGCAGAACCTCTCTGAGGCTGGAGGGGGCAAAGGGCAAAGGTGATTCAGATATTTGAGAGACAAAAGCAAAGCTAAAATGACTGTGCTTCTCAAGTCAGAGATATTAGGGCAATGTAGACATTCTCTGTACGTGATATAAAACTTGCAGCACACATAGCAATGAGTTATTCTACTGAGGCACCGTCATATGAGGAAGCATTTAATCATGGTCTCTGCCTCTTCTCTCAGGATGATGCAGCAGAAAGTACATATACTTCCTTAGCATTCACAATTTCAGCTCTAAATATAGCACA